GGGAATGTCTGTTGCAGTGTGTAGGGCTTTCATAGAAGCTATAGCGCCTCATTTAGCTTTAATTTATAATAGAAGTGTAGATCAGGGAGTTTTTCCAAATTTGATGAAACATAGCAAAGTAGTTCCACTGTTTAAATCTGGCGATGATACCGATCCTAATAATTATAGGCCGGTATCTATTTTACCGGTGCTTAGTAAGGTGTTTGAAAAGCTGATGCTTTCTCAGATGCTGCGTCACTTTAACATGAATTCCATCTTTCATGATCAACAATATGGGTTCACCAAAGGTCGATGCACAACTGACGCCGGTGTAACTTTAATTAAGCGTGTTTTTGCCTCGTGGGAGGAGTCACACGACGCTATTGGAATTTTTTGTGATCTGTCCAAGGCTTTTGATTGCGTCGAACACGAGACACTGTTGCTAAAGTTGGAACACTATGGTATTCGAGGGGCTTCACTCAATTTATTAAAATCATACCTCCAGGATAGGCAGCTTAAAGTACAGGTAAACAAAGTGAATTCTCAGGGTGCTAGCATATCTATGGGCGTACCACAGGGCTCGATATTAGGTCCTTTCCTAGTTTTGGTCTACATAAATGACTTACCTCATTTATTTCAGCGAGAACCGGGAATGGTATTATTTGCTGATGACACATCGTTGATTTTTAAAATAAATAGACGGACAAATAATTATGACGAAGTAAATAATGCTATTACGAAGGTTCATAACTGGTTTACAGTTAATAATTTAGTTCTAAACGACAAAAAGACAAAGTGTATACGATTCAGTTTACCAAATGTAAAAAGTAACGAATGTAACATATTATTAAACGGCAAGAAATTGGAATTTGTAAAACAGACTACTTTTCTGGGTGTAACCATAGATGAAAAACTACAATGGGGGCCCCATATCACATCTCTGGCAGGACGGTTGAGTTCTGCAGCATTTGCTGTCTGGAAGATCCGACAGCTAACAGATGTGGACACTGCAAGACTGGTGTACTTCAGCTACTTTCATAGCATTATGTCGTATGGCATCTTGTTGTGGGGACAGGTTGCTGACATTGAGTCTATATTTGTCTTGCAAAAGCGTGCAATCAGAGCAATTTACAACCTAAGGCTTCGCGAATCTCTTAGAGATAAATTTAAAGAGATCAATATTATGACTGTGCCCGGTCAGTTTATTTATGAAAATATAATGTATGTTAGGAAACACTTAATATTATTTGATAAGGTATCAGACAGACATAATTACCAAACTAGACATAGAGATAGATTGTGTCAGCCATTATTTAGATTGGCAAAGGTACACAAGTCGTTCATGGGATTCAGCGTTAAGTGTTATAACAAAATCCCAGGCGAAATACAACAATTAAATGAAAGAAATTTTAAATTATGTGTAAAGAAAACTTTGTGTAAAAAAGCATATTACAAACTGAGTGATTATATTGAGGATAAGGATGCTTGGAGACGGGCTGGTCCTGCTCCACAGGATAATATACCTACACGAATATAAATAATGTTCCAGTGGATCTTTGCTTGAACGGAAGTTCTTAGATTTTGTAAATTTGTTACCGTGCTATTTTTATTGTTAAACTTGATAAATTTGTAAATGTGAGTGCCCTGTAACCTATTAAAATTAGTTAGACTAGCAGAATGTCGGTCCATATGTCAGCTTGGAGTTGTCATGCTCACTCAAAGGTCACATTGGCGGTGGCACGGTCACTGGATCGCTCGATTCCCTATATTATGGTTGAGTTGGGCGATGCTGGTGTACGTGTCATGCTCGTGAACGGGCGCCGTCAATTGGGACTGGTCAGCTCCGGACTGTCTATTGTCCTTAAGGTTATTTTCTTTTTATGTTTCTACATTCATACACGCGTTACACTGTTCTCACATATTCAAACTAACTAAATAATGTATCAAAGAATGTTTATGTGACACTGATTTTAAAAGAGTAACCATGGAGTTTCTTGCTCGTTCTTCTCCATCGGAATCTACACTTTGGAACGAGCGAATAGCTTCACTAAGAGGACTGACCGACAGACTGACACTTTGTATCTTTAAAGTTGTGTTGACGTTCAAAAGTGCCTGTATGGGTCTAATTGAAATAAATAATTTTGACTTTTTTTTTGACTTGACTTTTTAAAAAATTCTCAACAAAGGAACGAAATAATTATAAAACGTTTAAAAATAACTCTCAACTCTTCGCTTCTTAAGTCTAAATTTCAATAGTTAAAAATAGTTAATTGAGAACTGGCTTATCTTTGGAGAGCCGGTTCAAAAAGTTCCGAGAGGTCAATGAGATTACAGTGACATTATTTATTAGAACTATGTATAATGTAGGTACTAAAGAAGATTAATTTGTTTTACATCGTGTTTTTTTTAATAATATAACTAGTAACTGTAACTGTGGCTAAAGTAAATAATATTGTGACTATAAATTGAGATGTAAGCTACCCTATCTTTCAAGTTGGATCAAAATGAACACGGGATGCAAATTAAATTTAAAATCGGTTTAGTAGTTTAGGAGTCCATCGTGGTCAAACACGTGACACGAAATTTTTATATATGTATAAAGATATGAACGATGCAGGATTGTCGAAAGAGATTACTCATGAGTATGAGCTCCCAGCGAGGCTTGAAACTAGTCAAATTATTCCGCCAAAATGTAACGTGAATACAAATGTTATTTTTTTTAAACTTTGCCGCGCAGTAGCCTTTCCTCCTTCTTATATATCGTATATTTCTTTGATCATGCACTACTAGTTAAACTACTACTAACGTTACATATAATGTTATTCATGGAACATACATTTTATTGTTTTTTCTTAATATATAGTTGCATATCGGAGGGCTTAGTGATAAAAGTATTTTCTGCCAGGGTAGTGCAGTGTTGTACGTGGTAAATGGTATGAAGCAATACAGGCAATTAATTACGGGAAGTTGAAAATGTACTCGAAGTTACACAGAAAATAAAATAAAATAAGTTAAAATACAAAAGGTAATACATATAATATATATTTCATTTCTCTGTCGTATGGTTGCTAGTCTTATCGTATTCGTCTTATTAATATTGCGTTCAAGTTTTGAGATTTTTAGGCATATATCTAGCACGAAGCTCGAATTTGCATTTAATGTTTTACTACTCATATGAAATAGACAGAAAAATAATCAGCAGACTGATCACTTGATGAAAATTAATATGCGACTCCCACAGACACCTGAAACGCCAGAAGTAGTAAGCCTCAGTCCTTTTGGGAGTTAGGTTAGACACTTGGTGGAACTGCAGATAAGGAGAAGGTCATGGCGAAGCACACCGTTGATGCACGACGATTATCTGCGAGGCCGTGGTATTACAGCAGTCGCGCCGACCCGTTTGTGCTTAAGCCGAAGAAAGTAGATGTCTAAGCAAACAAAACTAAAATAGTTTTAAGATAATATTTTTTATTTTATAAAACGTTGCCCCACATTTTCCACACATTTTCTCCCGTACCTTGAGTGCGTTAACAAACATACAATTTCACATACACATCACATCTAGACGGGAATAACAAACTGTTGGTCACACAAAGAGTTGTTCCGTGGAATCACAGAACAGTTGCCCAGCCACCGCGCAAACTGTACAGTCAAATATATTTTTCTAGCTTCCGCCCGCGTTGTAAGTATGTTGACAAAAAGTATCCTATGTCCTATTCCGGAGTGTATTCTATGCCTGTGCCAAATTTCATCCAGATCTGTCTCGTCGTTTTGGTGTTATTGAGTAACAAACATCCAAACATCGTAACTTTCACATTTATAATATTACAGTAAAAAGATTCTTAACCATCTTGCTGTTATGATGCAATTAGATCGGAACTTACCGATAACATCGGACGTAGCGATGCATGAAGCTGTTACTTTAACCTACTTGGTTCACTAACCTATTGTACCTTAACAAAGCCCTGAAGTGTTGGTGCGATTCATAGCAAGTAGCGAAGGGTCTACAAAATTGTATGTTCTTTATTATCGAAATACGAAACTATGTTTACCTACACTACTTACTTTTTAATGGGACGGAAACGAGCTGGTTTTTAGGCATTTAAGGATAGGGCTTTTGGAATTTTTATTGAGGATAGGGGGAAAGAATTGGGCCTCAGGTCATCTTATCCACAGCGCGTAACACAACGTAAGTGTTAAATCGTGGTATCATGCCGGCCGAGCGGAGCGATAGACCACCGCAAACGGGGCTCTGGAGGGCTGATGGTCAGCCGGGGTTGCGGGGTAAGCGCAATGTGGCACCGGCACCGGGGCCTCAGCCCAGAGCAGGAGAAGGAACAGGGTAGTTTTTATTCAGTAAGAGTCTGACACTGCCTTCCAGGAGAAAACATTTGATGATATTCCCATCACAAAAAAAATGCCGGCCAAGCCGGTCCATTTATTTCGAAGCATGAAGCATGCTTAAATATATTTTATAAACACATCTTCAGTCTCTTATATTTTTCATTAAGACTTAAAATTAATCAATGGTCTCATTCGTTATAAATAACATGATAATTATATTGTGTAGGTATAACTAACTGCTTATGTCCAACTTTTTTTCTTTGCTAGTTTTTTTACAATTGATTGACCGTTCCAACTTGATTGCCTGTTCATATCCATATAGGTATATCATTGTTTTTATAGGTATAACCAACCGCACGCCAAATAGATTATTGCAAGAAAAAAACTTTGAACCGGTCTCACTAATCTCTGTCAATTAATCTCCGTAGTATGAAAAATTACACGGACCAGCTTGAGAATAAACTAAGATCAATCATACAGACAAATCAAGCTTATCCGCTAATGTTTACATCTCGATGCGCCGGCGCATAGACCGTTATCCGCTCAGCACAGTTTGCACCACATTCCGTCCTATCCGCGGCGTATGCGCACGCACCGATCTATTCGGTTGATCGTATAAATCATCGATTAATTGTATTTATCGATTAAAGTGAGAGAGTGGTGAAATTATGGTTTTTGTGTGAAGTGTGAAAAATAATAATTACTTACCTAGTGTTTTCTTGTGCTATTTTTTTTTTAAATTGGATGGCAAAATGGTATGTAAAAAAAATGTTGTTTATAAAACATTATAAATTTAGAATAATACGACTTAGGTATATACATACATATATACTAATACTTGACAACTGTACGCAGTATTTTTCTGAAAAATAATTTTGTATTTAAAGAAAATCCCATGGTTTTCTTTCGTTGCGCCTAGATACGCTCAACGTTCGGAACGGTATATAAAATAAACTGCTGTACTTATCTCTACAATTCTATTACAATTATAAACTTATTAATTTTAAAAATAAATAATAAATCAAATCAATCACCGAAACCTTATTAAAGTCGGACTACTTTCTATACGCCGATTATTTGTGGTGACAAGTTGTAATGCCACATTGTAATATTTTCTCTCAGTGTCTAGTAAAGTAATGTAACCATTTAAATCTTAATATTTACTTTTTTAATGAAAACTGAAAAATTGTTAGTTTTGATTTTAATCGAACTCAAAAGAATATTGTTATTTGTGTGTTTTTATTAGAATATTTGCATATTATGTCTGATTCATATTTCATTACAAACAGGAAATCTACAATATTAATTTATTACATCAAGATTGTTAGGTTAAGAATAATTTATTATTTTAATGAGTATTTAATATTTATTTTATACAAAAAGTAGATTTAACTAATTACTATAGCCAGTGTGGTTGTCCTTCTTAAATAATTAATTTATTTCCTTGCATCGAATTTTCCGTTATAATCATATTTGCTATTTTTTATTTGCCATAACCCATTTTGTCAAATCGACAAGGTATCAGGAATTTTCGTAACTCGAATTGTCTAAATCCCGAAAGCTGTTTCTATTATTTTTACGATCGTGTAATGTGACATTGCGTCACATTTGCATTAAAAAGCTACATTTACATTAATAAACGAATAAAAAAACAATTATTTTATTATTTAAAAAAATAGCTAGAAAATACAATGAAATTAATTAATTCGTAAAATTATCAAATTCAATTGCGAATATTCTTTAGTTATTTTGGCTAAAAAAAGAAGCAAATTGTGTTTGAGACTCAAACATATTAGGTAGGTACTTGTTTTTTACCCTAGTACCTATAATCCCTGACAAAAACTTAAAACAAAAGACAAATTATGTTTATTAAAACAATTAACCATTTACATTTATTCATTATCTTACTTTTGCCAAACTAAACAGCAGTGTGTATGCAGACGGAGCTCTCACTTTAATCACAATGCTAAGAAGGTCTGATTTGCCAATAGCCAGATAAATGTTATCTAAGGAGTAAAATTGTTGCTGTCACTTTTTTATACTAACATTCTGACGCGACAGCTTCATAATTATTCCCCAGGTAACTTTTATCTAACCGTTTAAAAATCAGCCCTAAGTCGCATACATTTTTTACATAATTTTTTCCATTGCCAAATACATAAGTAAACAAATATAAATGTGCACCCCAACTGACATTCAACTGGCATGGTCCGTAATTGTAGCTTCAAAGATTCTTATTTTATTACTTAAACGTGAGTTTATATAGAAGCGTTCTTGTCGATTGCTGGTATGATTATGTGATCGCCTCATTCGAGACGATAAAGGATAAAAAATTAAGTGATAGATCCCCTCATTTATTCTTTTTTTAACAACTTGTCTCTGCATTGTTCTCACATAAGGGTACAATAAAGTAAGTATACTAAATAAATAGGTATTAGTGAAATTGTAAAACAAATATTATTATATATTACTTTGTAAAAAGAGTAACGATAGAGTTTCTTGCTCGTTCTTCTTCATTCGAATCTACAATTTGGATCAAGCCCCTAGCTTCACTGACGAACAGACTGACAGACTACTATTCTATTTGACGTTTCAATAGTACCTATTTATGGTTTATTTGGAATAAATGTTTTTGACTTTGACATCTATTACAAAAGAACCTCAAATTTCATTAAGTACAAAAATAAAATCCATTGAGGAGCTATCAGCAATTTATCACTAACAAATTACTATTAATAAATACATATTTACTCAGGCACTTAGAATTATAGCTTTAATATCTTATAAAAGATTTTTTCTTTAATTACTTACTTACAATAACAAATAAATCAAGATTGAGTTATTGAGTAAGTAATAAGTATGATTGTGTATTCGAAATTTGACAATTACTCAAAGTATTAATAAGTACTAGAGAGAATTATAAGTTACAACATTAATTTGTGTTAGTATGCTTCATTATCTTTATTATTACTTATCTATACTTCTATTCTAATATTAAAAAGACGTAAAATTTGTAAGTTTGTAAGTTTGTAAGTTTGTAAGTTTGTAAGATTGTAAGTTTGTATGTTTGTAAGATTGTAAGTTTGTATGTAGCGGGTAATTTTTAGAACCGCTGGTCGGATTGCCAAAATTCTTTCACTGATAGATAGCTACAGTGTTCCTAAGTGCTATAGCTACGATCAAATGAAGCTGAGCAGCGGGTGAAACCGCGCGAGAGTAGGTAGTTTTTCTATAAATGAGATAAAACAAGTTCTTCGTTGTTATTTTTATTATTACTAGCATTTTTTTGATAACTCGGTAAACGAGCAGACGGATTATCTGATTGTAAGCAATCAGTGGCGCCTTGGACACTCGCAACACCAGAGGAGTAACGAGTGCGTCGCCGATCTTTTTGGGATCAGGGTCTCGAATATTTAGGGAGTGGGGAGAGATTGAGGGAGAGGAAGAAGGCTTGGGCCTCCGGTAACCTCAATCACGCCGGTTTTCTGTGAGGTCGTGGTATCATTTCGGTCGAGCTGACTTATTTGTGCCGAACCTTGGCTCTCCCAAAGTTTATCATTATCAACTTTTTCTACAAATATGTACAAAAATAATATAAGTCAGTCTTTATCTAAAAAACTGAGTTGAGGCAGTTACAGCAGCATTGTTTTTGTTTATGTAATGTATTGTGGTGTCACACTTGTGATGCGTTTTTAAATAATTTTCGTAAACATTATCATTGTACATGGTTAATTGTAATATATAACAATTAGGGTTTTTTTTATGGTCGAGATTTGTCAAATGACCTTTAATTGCCTTGGTTGAGGCGAGAGGGAATGTCAGACTCTTACTGAGCACCCGTTTCTTATCCTCCTCCAGCCTGATGCCGCGGTCCGCGGTACCTGTTGGCCTTGGCTAAAAATTAAAGCTAAAATACCAAAATAATTAATAGTATAAAATATTAAAAACGGAAACCATACCATTTTTTTGTATAAGTAAGTTGGTTTCAAAATAAGGTTAAGTACCAATAGAATCCAATTACATTTAAAACAGTTTAAACCTACATTAACATCATATTTCAAGTACTAGGAGTGTAGATTTGAAAGGAGATTGTGCATAAAAGGGAAAGGATAGCTGTTAGTTCCATTGCCCTACGTTACTTTGTTTTCTATAAACAACAAAGTATGGTAGAAACTAAACTGTAGCCGCGTAGGCGCGAACTTTCTTCTGTTATAAAAACCTATGTATGTTAATTTTATAGTATTCCAAACACACTTACCAAGATGTAAGAAAAGCTGGATTACCTATCGTTTCTTATGAGCAGACAATTATATGAAATATAGATATTTTCTTAATAAACATATGTAGGTACATCTATTTGAAAAGCGAATATAATTAAGATTTTGCATTTGACAAGTTATGAGTAATTAAAACATTAATGCTACATCCATATTTTCCACCACTCTATCGGCATTACTTACTGAATTTGATATCATTATAGATTTGTATGCACAATAGTAATTTGACTGTATAATTGTTTTCAAATGACATCGAGACCTTCATAAATTTTGCGACTCGCGATTATAAACAAATTTAACTTAAATCTTACTAACCCTGAGCAGTAAATTCGTAAACTTTAAAACTCCTCATTATGTATGGTGACCTATTATGAGGAAATGAGGAACAATATATTCGAGGCCACGAGCCCACTTAGAAATAAAAGAATAACATAATACTATTTATTATATATTTTTATGGACCCGGGTACGTCCTAAAACTGCGACCAGACACCGAGGAAAGGGGAGCAGCATTCTTTAAAAATTATGCTCATATCGGTTTTCCCGAGAGCTTTCAGATCGAGCTATCGAATCGTTTTGAGTCCCTGGAGAATTGCGAGTCAGTGGACGAGATAAGCAACAGGTTTGTAGAAACTGTCCATGCGGTCGGGTCGAAGTTTTTTAGACCCCGCCGAAAAGACAGACCGCAGAAGCTTACCGATCGCACCCTCAAACTCATGGCAGAACGACGTGCTATGGTACTCCAGACCTCTGCCGATGCTAAAGCACATCGGCAGCTCAATAGACAAATATGGAAGTCCATGCGACACGATATCCGCAACTTTAACGCCAATAGGGTTAAAGAAGCGATAGAGTGGAACCAAGGCTCCAAAGTGTTCGCTAGGGACATGTCTATGGGGCAAACACAGCTGACGAAGCGAAAGGCGGAGGATGGCAGTGTGGCGTCAACGAAGGCCGAAGTTTTGGGTGAGATCGAGAGGTTTTATGGGCAGCTATACACATCGGTCACTAAACCTGTTAGCTCAGTCACCGATCCAAGAGCTAAACTCACCCGACACTATACCGAGGATATCCCGGACATCAGCCTATACGAGATTAGGATGGCTCTCAAGCAGCTCAAGAACAACAAGGCGCCGGGCGAGGACGGAATCACATCAGAGCTTCTGAAAGCGGGCGGAACGCCGGTACTGAGAGTCCTTCAGAAGCTCTTCAACTCCGTCATATTCGAAGGAGCAACGCCGGCGGCATGGAGCAGAAGTGTGGTGGTACTATTCTTCAAGAAGGGAGATAACACTCTACTGAAAAATTATGGACCCATCTCACTTCTGAGCCATGTCTACAAGCTATTCTCGAGGGTCATCACAAATCGTCTCACACGTAGGTTCGATGACTTCCAGCCTCCCGAACAAGCCGGTTTCCGGAAAGGCTATAGTACCATAGACCACATCCATACGCTGCGGCAAGTTATACAGAAGACC